CAAGTGCTGTGCCTGCCACGAAATCTGCACTTCGAGGTTCACCAAGTGCTGTACCTGTTACGAAATCTGCACATCGAGGGTCACAGAATGCTGTGCCTGCCATGAAATCTTGACATCGGGGTCACAGAGTGCTGTGCCTGCCACGAAATCTGCAAACGAGCCACATGTCCAAAAGTCACGATTCACTGCACCTGTCACGAAATCTAAGCTTCTCGACGATCACCACCATGTCCAAAGTGCTGTGCCTGCCACGAAAACTGCACTTCGAAGTAAAATAGCTCCGATCCCTTGCGCCTGTCACAAAAAGTCGACTTTGGAGGACCAGAACACGAGGTTTCCCTTGCGCCTGCCACGAAGTCACCACCATGTACGAAAATGTGCACGGCACCACAACGAGAGCGCAGTCGTTAGAAGCACCCGCCGCAGACACCCAGATTCAGCGAGCCTGCGCAGTCGAAGTGCACATGGACGATGTCGAGAGTCATGAATGTACTGTAAATAGCAGCGAATTGGCCGGACACGCCCGCGCGGAACAGCGATCTAAGCACACCTGCTTTTCCCTTACCGTAAGAATCGTAAGAACCCCTCAGTGTGCCCACACTGTTTGGGGAACAAATTCCCCAGTTCGGCCCGGGCATTGACCCAGTTCGGAAACATCACAAAATCACCATGATCCGCATGGCACCAGGTTCAGTCTGTACAGCTCTGTCTTGAAGCAAATTAGGAGTTCCATCTCTCAAACCATCACTCACTGGCATTTTTCCATCGGGCACAAGAAATCCAAACCTCCCAGCAACCCGTTTTACGGATGATGATGGTTAGGTTCCAGGCCGACAGTTCAAGAAATAGTCCCTGGGGATCCAGTTGTACCTTCTCAGAAGGTGATTGGAGACACTGTTATGTAGGCACGAGGAGGGCCCAGTCGTACCTCCTGAGGTACGGTGGCAGTGGATCCCTACAAAGTGATATTCTTGTTGACCGACTGTTACAGGTAACAAGACAGACCCAAGGCACTACCCAAGCCACTACTTCATGCATGTGTCATAGTTAGCGACCCGGTTCTTCAAAGTGACCGACCTTGACGTGACCTCCAGGCCTGTGAAAGGGACTGCAAAAAGGTCACTTGGAAGAAGCTGGTGCATGGATTTTAAGACAGTCTCTGGTTTTAAGGGTCCATGGGTCCATAAATATCTGCCATGGATGCTTCGATGTAAGCCTTGTCAGGGGCGGGCGGAGCTTATGACCCTTTACCATGACTCCATGACCCTTCGAGATCCCCGTTGGTTCGGTCACTGAAGCTCGCCCCATCCCAGCGTACCTGGTCCCAACCACCCTGCGAAGTCACGGTGGTGGCCTTCATCGAGAAGACGTAGACCTCGAAGCGGTAGACGCGACCGGCCCGGCTGCGAGCCGAATCGGGCCGGATGGACCATCCCCTTCAGGGATTCTGAGGTGGGAGGTCTCCCTCCTTGGTACCAAAGTGGTCCTCCAAACTGGCACCAGGCCATCCCACGTGCCAGTTCTAGGAGGTTCTAGTCAGACAGCCAAATTTTCAAAATGGGGGCGGACCACATCCCACGTACCGGTCCCCCCCACTTCGCACATCCGCGGCACAGTGCCCATGATGACCTGACTGGCAATGGCCACCGGCAAGCTGGGCGCGGCCAGCGCTGCATTGAGGACGATCCAACATGCTAAAAGGCAAGCGACCTCAGCCCCGTCAAAGCCGAGCACCACGGCCAGCCGAGAGCCGAGCACCTGTGGAGAACGAGATGTGGGGCAATGGTCCATGTGTTGACTCATATGTTCCAAATGATTTGTTCTTTTGGCACGGCTTTGTGGATGACGGGCCGAACATCGAGTGCAAGCTGCACTGCAAGACCATTCTCACAAAGAGATACAAGAAGATACAAGAAGCACTGCAGCGAAGCAGTCCCTGATTCAATGGTTTTCAATGACTAACCAACATCAAACAACCGTTCGTGATAAATCCGTCTTGATGGTCTGGGAAGGCTAGCAGCTATAGGAACCAGCCACACTCGTAATGTTGGAAAATGGGGAGGTATAGACTCGGTCTGGCCGATGGGGGAAGTGGGCCGGCATTGGTCGGTGGTGCACCCACATGGCAACATCACTCAAACAACCTGTGCAGCTCTTGCTGTCGGGGTTGGGGAAGGCATCTAGCTCAAAAAATGATCAAACAGAAGGATCAAGAAATAGAAAGTTGATCAACGAAAAATAGAAAATGATAAAACAGTATTCCTGGATAGGCCTCTTCTGCTGCTCTCCTGGCCCTGTGGTCTGCGGGTCCTCTGGTCCTTTTTAGTCCGCTGGTCCACTGGTCCTTTGGTCCCCTGGTCCCTTGGTCCTTTGGTCCCTTGGTCCTCTGGTCCTTTGGTCCCCTGGTCCTTTGGTCCCTTTGTCCTCTGGTCCTGGTCCGGTCCCGTGGTCTCCTGGTCCTTTGCTCTCCTGGTTCTCTGGTCTGCGGGTTTCTTATGGCTTTCTCCTTGTTCTTTCACTGATGCTTTTTGATGCCTTTGGTCCTTTCTCTTGTAGCTTATTGGCCACAGTTTTCCTGCAAACGTGCAATGCTTTTGGCTTCGGTTGCCTTAGGTCCTTTTGTGCACTTTTAGATGCCCTTCACTGAAAGGGCGGTAGGGTACATAGTTTCTAGTGATTTCTTTTTTGGCGCTGTGTTTTAACGTGTGGTTCGCTTTGAACCGGGGGCGCTGCGCCTCGCTCCCAACCCCCCTCCAGCACCACGAAATCTGCACTCTTGCGCTGTGATGAAGCAGCCCAGCGCTGTCAAAACTTGATTTGCATTGCGGGGGAGGCGCTGCGCCCTCCCCCACACCCCCTCCCGCTTTCTTAATAGTTGGCCACTACCCCTGCCATTACCAGTACCTCCAACACCAGTCTTAACACAGTTACCACAACTACTATCTTCTTTGCGTTGGCGCTGCCACAAAGGTGGATGATAAGGCCTGCCTTCGCCTAGCGTGACAGCCAGAAACCTTCGATTAGTAGGAAGCGCTGTGCCCTACCCCTACTACTTCCACCACCACCACCACCACCACTACTATCACTACCACTACCACTACCACTACCAGTACTACTACTACGACTACTACTACCACTACTATACTACTACTACGACGACGACTACTACTACGACTACTACGACGACGACGACGACTACTACTACTACGACGGCGACGACGACTACTACTGCTACTACCACTACCACTACTACTACTCCTACTCCTACTATTTAAGGGCTGACGCCCGACAGCCGGCCAGGGGCCCACCACTGGTTGTCGTTTTAGTAGTAGTTGTAGCAGTAGCAGTAGCAGTAGCAGTAGCAGTAGCAGTAGCAGTAGCAGTAGTAGTAGTAGTAGTATAGTAGTAGTATAGTAGTAGTATAGTAGTAGTAGTAGTAGTAGTAGTAGTAGTAGTAGTAGTAGTAGTTGTAGTTGTAGTTGTAGTTGTAGTTGTAGTAGTTGTTGTTGTTGTTGATTGTTGTCGCCGTCGTCGTCGACATGGCCTCTTGGGCCTATGTTGAGCCCATCTTGGGCCTACGGCAGCCCATCTTGGGCCGGGTCGGCGGCAGGGGGTGGAGCCGCTCTCTCCTTCGGAGAGGAGAGAACCCTGCGGGATGCCACGGCAAGATGACGGGCCCCTGGCCGGACTACTACCACTACTACTATTACTACTACTACTACTACCACTACTACTACTACTACTACTAGGGCTAGAATATTTTTTGATTCCCTTTATACTTCTTTTTTATCCCCGTTGAATATGTTTTTTGATTCTACTTTTATTCTCTTTAGACCCCTTACTACTACTACTACGACGACTACTACTTCTACTTCTACTACTACTGCTACTGCTACTGCGACTACTGCTACTCCTACTCCTACTCCTACTCCTACTACCAACAACTACTACTTCTACTACTAC